CTGCACACCTCTTCTGATTCCATGCTGCTGAATCAGTCTAGCATTATAGAAAGTATTAACCCAAAACAGAGCAGTTTAGAGAAATTTCTCCTACTTTGAACATGTTTTCCACAAACATGTTGATACCAAAATAAGTCTCCTTGCCCCAACACCAGCAAGCAGGATTTTTAAGAATTAGACCTGATAGCAATTAAAGCCAGCCATGTGCCTCAGAGCTTCCCACAACCTTCACATCACCGTGAACCTACGAACGTTCAAAGCCTCTGGCAGCTGGAGATGGGCAGAGCGCCAGACGGCGCGGTAACGTATTGGCTCCATTTATGCATTCAGTGTGAGTTTTGCCTCAACCAGCGTATYGCTTTTCAGGGCAACCTGCCTTATCTGGGTGTTTGGACACAGTGAGATATGAAGTCGCCTCGCAGCCACGGTGGCAGCTACCTATAGGGTCCTTGCTGCGGCTCACCTATATGTAAGGGTGGAGCGTCACAGGCTGCAATGGGCAAGTGGAGGTTTCAATGGGCAGGACTGCGCCACCCGCGAGCGCCAACCTGGCGCCTGCCCCTTCTTCCCATGTCTGAGCACCGAACTGAGATATTTGCCCACATTTTATTTTATTTTTATTTTATTTTATTTTATTTTATTTTATTTTATTTTATTTTATTTTATTTTATTTTATTTTATTTTATTTTATGTAGTCTAAAAATAGAACTGTAAAGACAGAAGACAGTGGGATCCTCCTCCTCCTCTTGAAAAAAAAACTAAGTTGCCTTTAAAGACTAAAGATTTAAAGATTTAAAAATTTTAAGCCACCTCAGCTTAATCGGTCTTCTGCCCCTAAAAAATCTCATGTTCCCCTCTCAGCTCTGCCAGCTATTTAGCTATTTAGCTTTAGTTTTGAGCTGTTACTTTTTCTCCCCTTCTCAGAGAAATCAAGTATTTCYAGAAAAGATTATGTTAAAAGTGGCAAAATGACTGAAATGGACAATTAGTTAATAATGAGAGCGTATTTGTAGGAAAACACTATGAGAATGGGTGGTATCTTTGAGCGTTCGGGTGCCCGCAAAGTCCTCTTTGCATCGGCTGCAAGTCTTTCACCCCCCCTAGGAAATAACCCACAGTTTATTATTTATGGGGTGGTCAGATCAGCAGCACAGTCTAGAACAATATTTCTACAAGTATTCAGGAGAGCCACACTCACAGCATGCAGCTTTACAGGGCTGGTATTTCTAAAAGCTTGGCAGAATATGCTATATGGTAAGTGTAGTTCAGAAAAAAACATCCGATATCTAAAACAAATTTCATTGCTTTATTTTGTATCATTACAAAGCAGAGAAGAAAACACCAAAATTTTGAGTATTTTAGAGGCCATCCAATTTGGTTATTAGCAAATGTGGCTTCTCATTTTAAAAGGGCTAAGCTTGTGTATTCAATTTTACACGTTTGTAGTATTGAAAAGAAATCCATTACGTGATGGAGTGTTAGCTCCTGCACGTACTGATGAGGGAGCTAATGCCAGCTTGCACATTTTTACTTTATATAATTTAAAATATTCACTTGGAAGCCCAGCTTCTGACTTTCATTACATGTGAGCAGTCCCATACAGCTTCACTTCAGGGCTAGACTTGGCCAATAAATCTGGTTTTCCTGCTGACAATCCATGAGTGTAAACCCCAGCGCCTGCTTTGCACGTCCTTGTCATTTTGTCAGAYGAGCAGAAAAGCCTTTTTAAGCTCATTAACGGAGCACACTCAATAGGCAGTGGAGAGGGAAGAAACCGGGGACAATTTTACAATGTTTTTCACACTAAAACAACACTTCATGGAGCGTAATGATGTCATCTTGGCTCCAGCGAGGTCAGCAATCAAACTGCCACCGAGCGCAGCRCAGCCAGGACCGCAACTTAAATCTGCCCAAATATATCAGATAAGGGAGCGCTGGGCGTCCCGGGCTCGCCTTCCCTGCTCGCTTCACCCGCAGAAGTGCAGCTTTGCCTGCACTTTTCTTTCTTAGTCTTTAAGCTCCCACTCAACAGGGCTGGTTTAAGAGAGCTTCCCTCTGATGCAGAGGGGTTTAAACAGTGTATTTTATATATTTTATACATATATATATTTAYGCATGTAATTTGCATAAAAGAATTAAATGAAAAATATTAAGATTTTCATATGGAAATGTCATACCATTCTSATTTAAAAGGCATCTGAATAAAAGTTAAATACAGAATAATTTGCAACAGGAACACTGATGTGTTGAATGTGTGAAGAGACATACACATGTGAGAGTAGGGCACCTTTGGCTTCATGCTAAGAGGATAGATCAGGATAAAAATTAATTACCAAGACACGTGATTCCAAATTAGAACAACTGCTTTAAACAAAAGCTTACAAACAGCGTATCTGTGTCTTTATTGTAATATAAACTCTGGCAAAACCCTCTCAAAATAGGTTGAACAGGCCAGAAGACTTATACAGGTTAAGATGTTGAATAACGAAARGAGGTAAAAATATATAAAGGATGCAACTGAAAGGACACAGTGACTGACCTAAATTTACAGGAGATGGTCTCCATTTAGGCTGACCAAATGTAGCCCATGGAGAACAGAATCCTGCTTTCAACAGTGCTCTGACAGCTAAGAATATAAAAAAAATTCATCAGGGTTTCCATAATACTGTCCTAGTTTCCAAAAGTCCGTGACTTGGGAACTTTCCGATATTCACAGATGATGCATTTGTATTTACTAGTCCTCAAAGATTTTTTCTTCAACGATTTCTTTTTTCAGTCCTTTTTRAAAACCAGGCTTCCTTTTACTTCACTGGGACAGAACAGACTGCTCGGCCTTCTGTCTGAGCACTGCATGAAAGCAGAGYCACAGCAGACAAGCTGAACGCACCTGCCTTCCCTGCCCGACAGGCAGATTTTGTTAGTGTCCCCCAAGCCATTTGCTAACTGGGAATCCTCTCGTGAGCCAGTTCCAGGCCACTACACTTCAAAMCGCCTGTTCCTGCAGGCAGGAAAGAAGAGAAAGAGGAAAGATGGTCTGTCCACTCAAGAACAATGAAGGTAAGAAAATCTCTCTTTTTTTTTTTTTCATTTAAGAGTGGGAGTAATAGCAGAAAAACAGGGTTCTGAGGTAGCTCTGGCAGCAGATTAGAAATCATCTGTGTTATAAGCAGGAGGGAGGCCACTGTCTGCTATCATCATTCAAAAGTACTTAAACATCTATCACCCCCTTCAGAAGGTGGGGTAAAGAACTTGGAAAGAAAGCAAAAACTGGCTCCTGGCTTTTCCTTCCAATTCCTAGTTTCTGCTAAAAGAAACATCAGACACTTTGTCCTGCAAAGYAAATTGGCTTTAATAAACTGCTGACACTGGCTAAAGAACAAGACCTGCTGCAGGCAACATGGTGCATGTTGCATCTCACTACAGATTTCCTAGGACCATCGGGATAGTGGAGCTCTATCATGTACCACGATTATTAAATGAATATTTTTGAGTATCACATGTATTATTATATTTGTTTTATAGTCATTTAGCAAAGTCAGTTTTAAACTTAAGATTCATATCAATGTGTTCAAGCCATTTTCCTTTGTTATTTGGGGATGGCATATCCATTCTTATGGGCACATTATCAGTCTTTCATAAAACAAGCGATGTCTGCATTGTGCATCCCCCTGTGACCCATCTCAACAAGTTCTTGGGCCTTTTGACATGTTAGAAAGCATTTGGCCAGCCAGCAACAAAAAACTTCTAAGCAGGGTTTTGAAAGGACACCAAAGATTCTGTGGTGAAGGAAGCAAAGGTCCTCAGTAGAACATCATCCCAGGATGGACATGGACAAATCTTCCGAACTTCAGCACTAGCACAATAACCACCTCCCACCACCACAYAAATAAAGTGTTTTATGCAGAGAAGGGGATGAAAGGAAGATAGGTAAAGGCAGAGTTGGGGGGGAGATACTGGGGCCAAATTTCTCAAACACAATAAGAGGGAGAGGGGAAAAAAAAAAGCAAATAACACCCATGCCAGGAAGGAAAAAAAATCCTCACGATYCATCTTTTCATATAGAGAAAACTACATAGTCAGGTATGGAAACAAAATCACTAGGCAGTCAATTTAAAACAGCAGTCAATTTAAAACAACAGCCAAATGCTATTCCTTACTTTTTTTTTTTCTTTTTACTCCCTACTTCCTCTCCCCTTCATCAACTTGCTATTATTTACTTTGCATAAGATTAYGTGATCTAGAGTAACAAGTGCAGTGGTGGAAAGCAGTGAGCTTGATCTTGTATTCTGAGCCAGAACACCTATTTACTGTAYGTCTTTGAGCAAAACTACTAACTTTAGTTGTTCCTTCTCTAAAATTGAGGAAAAAAAATCAAATAGGTTGTTAACAAAACAGCACAGTGAAATTATACCTCTGAATACAGCATAACACTGCTCAAAAAAAAAAGTTAAATCTTCAGAAAGCTACATAAAATGTTTGTATCTGCACTCAGTGACAGGAGCTGGACTCTGACGTGGGAGGCGGGGGAAGGACGAGAACTTGAGACATTATTTTTTTTTCTCCTAATTTTTTAGAGAAGTGTCAAAACTAAACAGTCTGTGCTCAGAAATAACTCTGCTGATAACTGTGCTCAGAGGGGATAGTCTAGACTGCTGCAAATATTAAGGCATTTATGATATCATCTTTTTTTCTTTTTTTCCCCCCTTTTCAAGTTAGCRTTGCAGGGATCATGTTCAGATGTGAATCCAAATTCTTCAGACCCATGTATAATTTGAAGCTTTTCTTCTGGCCTTTTGCGGGGGAGAAGCCATAGGACATTTTAGAATTAATTCACCTGTGGTGTTCAGTAAGCTTACATGAACTTCAGGGAGAAAAAATACTTAAAAGTGTCAATTTAAGCATCTGCTGAGATTACAACTGATTATCCTACTTGCTGATGTCTCCTGACAGAGCGTGTAGATGGAGCAGGTAGGGGCTGGAGCCCTCGCGGGCGGCCGTACCTGCGTCGCTCGCGGAGGCGGCCGACAGCGCGGGCATGATGCAGCCGGCGGAGCGGGGCAGCGCCGGCCGAGCAGAGCAGGGCGCCGCGGCGGGCGCGGGGCACCGGGAGGCTGCGCYGCAGCTGCCCCGGCCGCGGCGGCCACGCGGATCCACGCAGTCTCCCACCTGGAAAGAACAGAAACAGACTTCATAATTAACAACACCGTTAAACTCTAAATTATCATAGCTAACCCAATCCTATCATTATCACTAAAAAAGCTTTTAAATTTAATCTCCCAATTAAAGCAACAAAGGATATTTATTTATATACGACTGCTAGGACTCTTCTCCAGGTGAAACAAAATTGTAATTCCATTCTGCTGTAAAAATCATTTAACATATTTCTCTCATAAATTATACCSTCTAGCATGTCAGGTATTATGGAAATATAAATCGTTCACTATTTTAATGAAGTAACCTTAAGTGAATGAAAATTTGTTAATATCTTCAGCATCACACACAAAAAGATTCCATACTGGCATGTCAATTTATTAAGGTCTCCACTTAACCTAATTTCAATTCTTTTCAGTTCATTTAAAATCCGACATGAATTTTTTTATCTGTTTCATGGAAATATACTCAAAACATAAGTGAAACTGTAAAAAGCAGAACGGGGGCAGGCAATCACCTGCACCAAATGGCTGTGTGAGCCGGCGGAGTTGATGGAGCCATTATCATGCTCACCATGTAAGGACCCCTGCTTTGTTACTTATAAAGTCACAGGATTTTTTTTGAGATATTCTTTAATTACTGTGCAGGCCTACTGTTTGGGTCTTCCTTTTAACCAGTTCCTGAGCATAATTCAATACAAATGTCACGAAAGCATAAACCAAGCTCAAATATAAAGGAATGCTTTTAAAWTCAGGCATGTTAAAATATGAAACTGCAACACAAATATGTGAAARGAAATTTAGAGTTAAGATTGGAAATGTTTACTAACACCAGGGCAAGAACTGATGTGTTCACAGGGGAAAGGAAGGGGGAAAGGGAACGTGAAGCTTTAAAAAAMCAAGACATTTTCTCCAGATCTCCAGATTTGAGAAAACAGATGTATTCTTTAAGAAAGAAACCAGCATGCTGCTGTTCTAGCAAAAGAAAATAAACAAATAGGAGGGCATTTTGCTGCCACTGTAGCTTCTACCTTTTTTTTTTTTCTTTTTTTTTTCTTTYTYTTTTTTAAGCCCACATATTAATCAAAATGACTTTTCAAGTCATCTTGGCCCCAAAAGTGAATATTTTGGACACACTTGTACTTGGCAATATTCTTGTGGAAGAGTAATATACAGGTGCCGTAAACACTGTACGCAGTTCAAAATTCTCTTTTCCACGAAAAAATAAAAAAAGAGAAAATCTCCACATTTCCAGAAATATTGCAACACTCTGAAGGCCATTTACAAGAGCTTGTTTAGTTAAGTTTAAATTTAAATTAGATATACGGCGGTTGTAAACACACCCCAAGGTGCAAGACCTGTAGTATCATTTTAACAGCCAGCAATAAAGTTCTTCTTAAGCGTTCACCTGAAGGAAGATTTTCTGTCAGCTTTCAAAGCCCAGTGAATGTGAGTGTAAAAAGAAAAGAAAAAAAAAAGCTATGGTCCCAAATAACTTCTTTTTTGATGAATAAAGCAATACAACTATTTGAAAATATACATATCTGTTAGGATCTTCTTTTGTGGTTTTTTTTTGTTGTTGTTGTTGTTATGAGGGGCAATACAGATGAAAATTAACCTTTCTCTCATATGCATGAATTTCAAAACTTTGTTTCTATCCGTCAAATCAGTACAACCTCCCTTAACTCACACGCGGACAACACTTAGCACAGAGCTGAGGAAGCTGCGCCGTTGGGAGGGCCAGCTCTCCCTGGATGACCAAGCTGCACCACGTCCACGTGCAGGACCGGCCGGGGGGCAGCGGCCGCCGCGGCCCAGCGCCCGCCGTGCGAGTCAGCAGCGGCCGCATCCGCGCTGCTCTCGCTCCGTGTCTGCCTGTCAAGGCAGCAATGGGAAACCCTCGCTGTGAGCGCTGCAGGAAGGATGGAAGCACGTTCCGTTTTCCTACGTGCAGGACTAGTTAAAGCACAGTGCTTTGCTTTTAACGGCACCCCTTTGATTTATATTGATTTATATATCATTTATATGCAACGCCAGGTACGTTGGCCACTCTAAAAAGCCCCCCTCAAACGCTCAAAACAGTCTCAGGAGTAACATGGGGCACTGTCATTAGCTAGAAACGCAGATTCCCCAAATATATTCCCCCAAAAAAGAGGACAGCCTTGTTCATCTATACGTGTGCCATGTATTTAGCATTCTGCGGTATTCTTCGTTTTTATTTCTTTCACGGCAATATTAAACAAATTCAAAACTCTTTATTATTTAAGAAACTTATATGTGGCATAAAGTTATTCCCCCCAGATCCTAAATATATATCAATGAAAAATAAATGACCTGATGAAATCGTTACCAGTAAAACGCTTAATATTTTGTTGGAATGGAGCGGGGCTATTTTTTTTCTCTAACTTGCAAATTAAGCTACATTTTTGCAGTGACGATGTTATTTTCTTTGGCTCATTTTATTCAAAATGCTTTGGAAGTTTTTGTCAGAGCCCGGCCGTAAGTATTGCTGACTGCTGTATGGAATCGATTTACTGCAACACAGAAATACCAGCTGTTACAGTATGTCCTGAGAGGGATTACCGAATATTCTTAAATTGAAGTTCAATCCATCTTTCCATAAAAATTAGAACCAAAAGCCAGGAACGTAACAGCAGTATCAAGTGCACCTGAGGCATTTACAATACCCAACAGGACTGTTACGACGAGCCTCTAAAAAGGGCTTATTTTTGAGATTTCATTATTCCAGCCGTACCTTGCTTCTATATCTCGCACTGGATCGGGTTCTCCTGGCAGGCGCCCCGTGGAAACACGCGGCGCGGCCGCGTTTCCACCGGGCCCCGCGGCGCCGCGCGGCTCCCGCGCCCGCTCGTGCCGGGCCATGCAGTCGCGGAGCGCGCGGACGTGCTCCTGGCAGCGGCGCCAGTCGCGCTGCGCGCCCATGCACTCCTGCAGCGCGCCGTGCTGCGCCGCGCAGCCCGTCCGTGCCACCATGGCGTCCACAGGGTCCTCTTCCTCCTCCTCGTCCTCCTCCTTGCGCGAGGGGCGGCTCCAGCGRTGCCCGGGGTGCCCTGCTCCTGCCATCCCGCCCTGGGTCCGATCCGGAGAACGGAGCTGGAAGGAGAGAGGAAGGTGTCAGGTACCCCCATGCTCAGCCCCTCTGACCCTCCATGGCACCCAGCGCCCCCCAAACTAAGGTGCCCCCCATCCCATGGGTGCTCAGCCCCTCTGACCCCTCCATGGCACCCAGTTCCCCCCATCCCCATGTGTTCCCTTTCCCCTGGGTGCTCAGCCCCTCTGACCCCCCCATG